TGGGAAATAGGGTTTTTAGCTTTCTGTGTTCTGAACACAGGACTGTGCACTAGCAGGAGGCTGGAAAAGGAGTTGAACAAATCAATCCACACTTATCCATCCCCTTGTAAGCTCAGGCCCTTCGAATGTCTCTGATTAGCCTCTTGAAGACTTGGTTGGGTAGCAACAGAAAAATTTTTAAAGAAAATGCATTCTAGAAATCTATAAAAAATTATACCAAGTAGCTAAAAGTTATATCTCATGTCTTTTATCAGGATAGATGTTTAGGGTCTGTGAGGAAAACGAGCATTCTAAAATATCTGCTGTGCACAAGGGAGCAGCAGGGTCCTTTATATATATTTTTTTTTTTTTTTTTGCCCTAGGAAGAATGCTCTTTAAAGATCTCTGGATATAAAACATATCAACAAGTCTTTAGCAAAGGAAATAGTGCCTGGAAAATGTGTGATTGGAATAAAAGAACTGGAAAGTTAGAGGGCCTGCGCTGAACTGCATCTTATACTATCTTCATGAAATATATTTACACACTATGAAAACTCAACCAATAAAAGTCAATTTTTAATATGTGTCTTCGGGATTCCCCAAGTTTAGGAGAGGTTTGTATGTTTGCTTTGCACAGTTCTCTTTGTTGCTGATTTATCCCACACATTTACGCTTATAACAGACATATATCACCTTATTCATGTCATCTGTTGTTTTCTGTTTTGGGTGTGATGGGAATATAACTCTGTATATGTGATTTCTATCTATAGTAGAAAGGAAAAAAATTAAAAATTTCTTTATAGAGGAAAAAATGACAGTGTTCTTTGTTAACTATAAGAGAAGAAACAATATTCATCTCATACGTAGATAATTTTTGTTGAACAAGCTTTAATCTAGTGATAAACCAGAGATACTTAGTGCAAAATTACGTAGAAAGTGTGAATGTAGAGGCAGGAGGAAAAGTCAGCATTTCCCCTTTCACCTTTAAGAAATCACACTAAAGCAATAAACACAACCGTAAACTCCATCCTGGAAACACTAGGAAAATTCTGGAATTATGAAGCACAAAATAGGGAGGTTTTCTGGAAGCATTTCAGGTCAAAGACAAGACAACATACAAAGAAAATGGCTGCAGCTGCAAATCTTTTTATTTTTAAATAAAAATCTGCAGAAGCAGAGTTCTCCTGAGCGAGTGGTACAAATCGAGGTGCATGACCCATTATCTCTTGATTCCTTCCAAAGGAGCTGGGGGCATGGCTGGTGGTAGGAGCACCTGGGCCTGGTTTGGTCGTGGCGAGGGAGCATCGGAGACCAGGCTGAAGGAGGATCGCACGGGAAAGCCATATTTGCAGGAAGCAGACAGTCTGTGAGGCTGGGGATCAAAAAGAAGAAAAGAAGCTCTGTGTGCGAGCAGCTCTTTAGCTTCCATTCTCTTTGGACTGGGAGGAAGAAAAGGAGCAGTGGCCAAAAAATAAAGACCTCGTTCTCAAAAAGGGTGGAGAGAAAGAGAGATATCAACAGCCCAGCAGAGGAGTGAGCAAGTAACATGGAGGGTTCCCAGAACGAAAATGCAAATGCTCTCAAAGACGGCCGAACAGTTTCAATCTGACTCCTAAAAGAAAGGCAAAGGAAAACTGCAGTGACATTTGTCACTTATGAAATCGGCAAAATTCAAAAATTGTGAAAGCAAGCTGTGTGATCAACATTATGGGAAAATAAACAGCCTCATGTGTGTTGTAGGTGGGCATGCCAACTGACACTAGCTCCGTGGAGAGCAATCTGGCAATGGCTCTCAACATGGGAAATCCTTTGACCCAACACTGCTGCTTCTAGCAAGTGAGAAATGGTATTTTTTTTAACATCAAAAGTCTGGAAACAATGTAAATGTTCATAACAGGGTTCTGAGTAAATGATGGTGCAATCATATCATGGAATATTATGCAACTTTTTAAAAGAATGAAGCAGATATGGAAGGCTCTCCAAGATAAATTGTCAAGTTAAAAAAAAAAGCAACTTCCAGAAAATATTTTGCTGTGCTACTACTTACATATGAAAAGATAAATGAATAAGGATGTATCTGCTTGTATGTGCAGAGAGTATCTTTAGAAGCTGGCAGCAGTGATTGCATGTAGGAAAGGAAAACAGGGGATCAAGGGGCTAAAACAGGAGGTGCACAAACCATTAAAAAGTGTGTGTGTATAAATAAAGGAAATATTGAAAGTTCTGATAAATAAATGAAAAGCAATAGGATATACTGGAGTATATGAGGAAGCCATTTGGTTTAAAACTAATTTGGGCCTGACCTTGTTTTTCCAAAAGGGCCTGACGTGGCCTGTTGTGCATGCATTGTACATCTGCTTTAAATATTTACTATGTCCCAAAGACCAGAATGATGCCCTTAAAGATAGGGATGTAACTTCCCCGCATATCAGCATTTCTTTAAGGATAAGCATCTCTCCCTAAATCAAGGATTAATTGCCAACTTGCTGTGCTCACCCTGTTACCACTGACCTGCTCTGCCAGCAAAGCAATCTCACAACTATTGTAAAAAGGAGATGCCGATCATATGTGATGTATGCGCTTTGTTCCAAGACAGTATGTAACCACTCTGTACACCCCACTTCTTTGGTGCCCTTCTTTAGGAAGGCCCCAGGCTAGTCCTCAGATCTGGCTCATAATAAACTCACCCCAATTTTGATGTATAGATTGATCATGGATTATTTGCATCGACAGTTCCCACAAAGCATTTACTGCAGTTGTCTCCATATTGTAAGATTATAGTGATTTTTCTCTTTGTAGTGTTTTGAGTTCACAAATATTCACCAGTGACAAACAGTGCTTTCTTTGAAAAACAACCAGGATTTTTTTCCTCCTAAAATTCTCAATTCACTCCACCAAACGAAAATACTTGGTCAGTTCACTGCATGAAAGCACATTTTTTCTTTGCCTGGCTCTCCAGGTGGCCTTGTCTGGTGGGAGCTGGAACCCCCAGCTGTCTGTGCTCAGGTGCACCTCAGTGGTCCAGGCCCACGGTGGTCCCAGGCCTCGCTGTGTCAGGCCACTCAGCAGGCCACATTCCCTGCACTTCACAGGCCCTGCAGGCCAGAAAATTTGGGGCCTGAGTTCCACTTATTGTTTCTCTCAGGTAAATTCCTCCCGCAAAGGGTGCTACTGTCAGAATTAAAGACTTGGAGCTATTTTGGTTGCATTCTTGGCCTTAAGAGACAGGTTTCCTGTTAATACTGTTTTGACTTAGATTGTTTGGGTCTCTCCAGCGGGAGACCAGATTTAGATCAAACGCACAGGATCCTCCTGCTGAAACAAGAAGAGCCTGGAACACCCAGGGAAGTCAAAGTCCCTGTTTTTTGAGGGTGGGAAACGGGACTGGGGTCCTTTCTCTGCTGCCCTGAGAGGCCTCCATGAAGAAAGGCCCGCCTGCCCGGAGCCACACAAAGCCAAGGCCACTGGGCCGGCAACTTGGAGGTCAAAGCATCCTGGGCCCCCTGTGGAAGGCAGGTCCCCCTCCACGGCCCTGAGCCAGGGTAAGGAGGCCCACATGGCTATGTTCCATGCACCAGCCCTAGCAGGGTCCCTGCACAGAGCCTCCTTCAGGACTGACTGTTTAGGGCTCGCCACTAGTCGGCCACTATTTAAGCTGCCAGCCGGGAAGCCTGGGAATATGGAACCAAAGGAAACAGAAGTGGGGTCTGTCCTGGCCCCTCGCAAACTCGAGCACCTGGCAGCTGCCCCTATACAGGCAGGAGGAGATGCTCATGAGGAGCCTGGGCATCCCAGGGCCCAGGGCACTTCATTCTCAAAGGTAAAAAAAGGAGTGCCCCCTCTCAGAGCGGTAGGCACTGAACAGGCCTGCCTTCCCAGCCAAGCGGGGAGAGAGGGACCCCCCACCTCCACCCTGTGTGTGCACACTGCTGTGAGGTGGCTCTCAGGCCACCATATCCTCAGCTAGCCCAGGCCTCTGAGGCAGACAGGACGGTACCAACCTGGCAACCAGTGTCCACAGAGCACCTGAGCTCTCTAAGTGGGATCAACTCTTTATTCCATATCTGGGTTCCATGTTCCCCTTGCCGGTGCTGGGAGAACAGCTGCAGTGTCTGAATTTTCACAGGAAAATTCATTTTCACAGAGGCAGTCCTGATTAACAATGAAACCTTCAAAATGGGCTCAGAGCTTGGCTGTAACCAGCTGACCTTTCACTTCTGAAAGGCCAGGCACATTTGTTTCCAAGGGCTTTCCCTTCAAATTTTTGTTTGAATGTGGACCTGGAAACTGGCATCTGCATTCTTTCCTAACACGATCTTAAATCATCCAAGTGACTGTAGGAAGGTGGCCCGTGCTGCCCAGCCTGGGCTGCAAGCAAAAGAGTGCAACTATTTAGCCCAGAGCCTAGAAGTTGCCATCTGCCACCAGTAAACAAACAGCCTTCCAAGGATGGAAGTGCAGTTCTCTTTTCTGAGACTGGGGGAACCTGGCCAACATGCCTTCTCCCGTTGTAGACGACACACTGAAGAAAAGTCTTGATGTTTGGCAAAAGTTCCCCTTCCATTGTAAAGTTAATAAAAGAAAACCATGTTTTAAAACAAGTCAGCCTTTTTCCTAACCCTGCATCATCAGACTCTAAATGTCAGAGAAATATCTATGCTTCAGTTAAGCAAGGAGACAAAAATAACGTGGCAAGGTAAAAAGAATCCAGATTTCAGGAGAATGGTCCCACCACATATATGTACGTGAAAATGCCTTTTTACCTGATATACTGAGGCGTGAACTCTTTGTATCAGCAGTTCCCGCTAGAAGCTCCATGCAGCAAATGTACTTAGGGGGATATTGACTCTGCCCCCAGGACGAGGGTGGGCCAGGTTGTCTGAAGCCCACCAGTTCACGTGGTTCCCTTGACCAGCCATTGGCTCAGGGTTAGCCACATGACCTGAGGAGCCCAAGCAGGGCATGTCTCACAACTCCTGCTTAGAATGCTGGACAAAGAGCTTCCGGCCTTCCTCTGACATCATAGTATGAGGAGGTAGAGCCTGGCACAGTAGCCACAAGGAGGAAAGCAGCTTAAGAATTAAGCCCACCGTTGGTGGGGATGTAAAATGGTGTAGCAGCAATGGAAAAGTCCGGTGGTTCCTCAAAAAATTAAAGATACAATTACCATATGATCCAGCAACTCCATCTCTAGGTATATGTCAAAAGAATGAAAGCAGGGCCTCTTCATAGCATTATTTACAATGGCCAGAAGGTGGAAGCTGCCTAAGTGCCCAGCAATGGATGAATGGATAAACACAATGTGGTATTTACATACAAGGGAATATAATTCAGCCTTAAGACAGAAGGAAATCTGACACATGCAACAACATGGATGAACCTTGAGGACATTGTGGTAATTGAAATAAGCTAGACACGAAAGGACTAATATTGTTTGGTTCCACTTGCAGGGTTCCTAGAGTAGTCAAATTCATAGAGACGGAAAGTAGAAGGGTGGCTGCCAGAGGCTGTGGGGAGGGAGAAATGGGAAACTATTGTTTAATGGGTACAGAGACAGTGGTAATGGCTGCACAACGATGTGAGTGTACTTAATGCCACTGAACTGTACACTTAAAAATGGTTAACATGGTCAATTTTTTTAAAAGAATTAATCCCACATACAGAGGACAGCCAGGCTGAGAGAATGATACAGAAATAGACCTGGATTCTCTTGATTTAGCTGGCCCTGAAGCTGATTGTCTCACGAATTTCCACGGTGTTTAAGCCAGTTTACTTTTGGCTTTCTGATAGTTATGATCTAAGTCATCCCCGCTGCCATATTGTACTTGAAAGAAGACATTACCATCAGCTTCCAGAAAACCAACCAGGGGAGCTTCCAGTCCAGCACCTTCCTCTCCATCAGGTACAGTATTGGATTTGTCCAAAAAAGAGATCATCCTGTGGATGACCCATTCCGATCCCTAACCTTCAACACTTCTTAACCCCTGGACTCCAGTGAACTCCACCTACCCATTCCGGGCCGCACCCTAGACTTTGGAGGTCACCACACAGAACCTCCAAAACTCTATGCTCTGCTCCTATTGTGACTTGGTTAAATTAACATTTGTTAAGTGGAGCACAGGGTGTCAGATGGTGAGCCACGGTTCAACGAGAGACCACAGGGAAATTTAAAGAGGAAAGTTTATGGCTCACAAGTCCTGGAAGAAGTTCACGGCGTACCCTGAGTGGCCACACAGGGAGGTCAAGGCAGAGTACAGACAGAGAGAGCAGCGGAATCAGGGGGACGTGCCTTCATTAGGGTCCATGGGTGGAGTGCTTTGGAGGTCCTGGCCAGGGCTGGAAAGGTCAGTTCAATCCAAAAGAGCTGGATTTTCGTAAGCCCCATGGGGGTCTTCTCTAAGGGGTGCACGAGGCACACAGACCCTGGGAGGCAGGGGAGACTGTTGATCACAGGGCTGTGAGGGAAATCATACTGGGAACTTACTTGGCTGGTGACTCTTCAGGATGCTATCTAGAGTATGTGCTGGCATTAGAGGGCTAGTGGCAGTTTACAGTCCCTGTAGGCCACTTGGCCGAACAAAATGGATGCCAAGGCAGCCATACCAGGGAGTAACTTAGCTAAACTCTCAACAGCCCTTTTATCATAATCTGCTCTCCTTACAGTCTTCTTACTTCCTCATCCCCACATACCTACTCAACGGCATTCAGAATCAGGACTCGCTTTCCAGCCTACACACTATGATGGAATAGACCAGTTAGTAACTTCCTTACGTGCCTCAGCTGTGCTGGCATTCAGTTCCCTCTCCTCTTCCCTAAAGCAGCTCCTCCTCACCACTCTCCCCCACAGGCCAGGCACTCCCTCCCCGCATGTCTTCTCTCTCCTATATTTTCAAGTCATCCTTCTCTCTCTCTTTCTCTCACACTCACTCTTATTTCCAGCTTCTTTCCCACAATCTATAAACATACTCAAGTCTCCCCATGTTTCTCATGGTTAAATAAATACTTTTCTTGACCTGCTCTTCCCTTCTAGCTGCCACCTTATCATTCTCCTTCCCTTCACAATCAAACGGCTCAAAATATTTATCTGCATTCCTTGTCTCCTTCTCCTAACATTTCCAGCCTGTGACAGTCAGACTTCCAGCCCCAACCCCTCTGATGGAAAAATTCTCTTAAAAGTGGCACTAACTCCATAATTGCTAAATCCAATGGGTCTGTTTACCAAAGATTCTCTTACCTGAATTCCCTGTCCTATTTGTTATGGTTTCCTTGCTCCCTCCACCTCTGGGACAATATATACTCCTTATAGGCTGTCCTCCTACCTCTCCGACATTTCTCCCAAGGCCCCCTTGACAGATTCAGTTTCTCTGGCTACCCCTAAGAGGCTGGGATGCTCTCCAGTATGCCCATGGCCCTCTTCTCTTTTCCTGCTACGTAGCCATCCCAGTGACTTCATCCAACCCCACGTGTGCACGAAAGAGTTGATTCAGCAGGTCTGGGATCTTCAAACCCTGCACATTCCAAAGAAAGTTCTGGCCCTTGCCTGTCTCATAGAAGACAACCTCTAAGCTCTTAGAATATCCTGCTGGTAAGTGTCTGTTTTTCTGTGGCATCAGGCCATGCCAGATAGTTTATGCTAACAAAGATTTATAGTGGGCATCTTGGGTCATGCGGTATCGGTTTGACCTCTGACAGAGCTGAAAATTGAGTGGCTAAGGTCAGTCATGTGGGCATCCTATGCCTATGTGACTTATCCAAAAAAAACCCTGGACACCATGGCTCTTGTGAGATTCCCAGTTGGCAGCCCTTCATATGTGTTGTCACACATCCCTGTCACATCACTAGAGGGATAAGTAAGTGCTATCTGCACGAATCCTCAGGAGGGGACAACTGGAAGCTTATGCCCAGGCTCTGCCCTCACAGTTTTTCCTTTGTTGCTTTTCATCTCCTCCTTTCACTGTAACAAACCATAACCATGAGTATAATGGCTTTTCTGAGTTCTGCAAGTCCTTCTAGGGAATCGTGGAACCTGAAGGTGCTCTTGGAGATGCCCAGCACCACACATTGTCATTGAAAGTCATATGCTGATGACTCACGAATCTATATTTTTTTCTGTACATCCCTCCTAAGCAGCAGTTCTAGACAAAAATAACAATCAGGATGTCTCAATAGAGCCACAAATCCAAACTGTCCAAAATTTATCTCCTTATATTCTGCTTCAAGCTCATTTCTCCTCACATGTTGCCACAAACCCAGTCGGCCGTGTCTAAAATCTGGCAGTCACCGCACACTCCCACCCCTCCCTTGTCTCCTGTGCCTCATCCGTGAGAGCTGCTCACTAACGTCTCCGGGTCCTTCCCTTCCTTCCACACCCGTTGCTCCCCTTGACTCAGGCCCCACCATTTCACCTGGACCACACAGTCAGTACTCTCTGGATAGGCTCTCTACAGCCAGGCCACTCTTTTCCAGTTATCCCCACTACAGACAAAATGAACCTTTTTAAAAAAAAATCAGGATTCTAGTTCAAGAAGGTAAAACTTAAATGTTAAATTGTAATAGTCATAAAAACAGTATGAATCTATACTAATGAAGAAAAACGGCATTTGTGAAAAGGACATTTCAACATCTTTGGAGTTAAAAAGTGAGTGAGAGCGAGTTAACTAACAGCTAAATCAGAATGAAGAAAGACTCCCCCCAGTGCACAGCCCTCAAGAAGCTTTTGACTGGGCATCTTTCAACAAGAGTTGACAAGGTTGTTTATTAAAGGAAACTGAACTTGGGCCCCCTGTGGTGGGTGAGGCTGCAGATTCAGCCTCTACTCATTCAGGGATCTGGGGAATCTACACCCAGGTTCTGGCTTCCTACCCTCCCCCTGAAGTGACACTTGCTCACTAGCAATCATTTATCACAGAGAGCATCCTGGTCAGGAGAGAACGCCACCTGCAGAGACAACAGTATGAAAAACTCTACCCACTACACTACTCTACACTGCACCACGCAACTGAGTCCCTCATCCCCAAATAGGTACTCCAGGCCCCCCTCGGAGACACTGCGTGTTCAGTTCCAGGCCACCACAATAAAATGAATGTCGCAATAAAGTGAGTCACACGAATTTTTTGGTTTCCCAGTGCATATACAATTATGTTTACACTATATTGTAGTCCATTAAGTGTGCAGTAGCATTATGTCTAAGAAACAATGTACATACTTTAATTAAAAAATACTTTATTACTAAAAAATGCTAACTGTCATCTGAGCCTTCAGTGCCAATAGACTTGCTCAACACAGGGTTGCTACAAACCTTCAATTTATAAAAAATGCAATATCTGTACACATAGTTACAGAGGACAGATTGGTAATTACGGGAGGGGGAGGAGGGCAGGAAGACAGTGCAAGGGGTGACTGGGCACATGTATACAGTGACAGTAATTAGTTTTTGGGTGGGGAACATGATGTAGTCTAAACAGAATTTGAAGTATAATGATGGACATCTGAAATCTATATGATGTTATAAACCAAAGCTACCTAAATGAAAAAAAAGAAAAAAGAAATGCAGAGCAGAAAAAAAATAAAAATGCAATATCTGCGAAGAGCTCTAAAGCAAGGTATGCCTGTATTTGGTTTGTTACCATAGGAATATGTTAATTTACTTTATTTTGACTTAAAATATTGCTGCAAAACTAGCTTAGGTACTTTCCAGTTTAAAATCCTTCAGTGACTCCCCATGGCCTACGAGATAAAATTCCAACTCCTTTCTTGGCATCAAGAACCACCTACTCCAGACCATTTTCTCATCCAGCCCTACTGGTATTTCACATTCCATTTATACTAATAATCTGGCAATTTTATGCTTTTTGGCCTTTATTCATGCTATTCCCTCTGCTCATAAAGCACTTCTTCTCCTTTCCATTGGGCAAACACTAACATGTCTCAAGATTTAGTCCAAGTGAAGCATTTAGTGACAGTTTCCTCTTTCCCAAAATCGTGTAAAATCAGTGCCTTCCACACATATTTCTACGACTGTTCCTGTGATAGTTTATTGCACTTTTAAGTTTAGAGTCTGTACTTTGTGCTCCATGAGAGCAGAAACCTGTGTTCCCCAGGCCTGGAAGATGGAGGGACCTCAACAAATCCCTGATGCATGAATGAGTGAATAGCATTAGGGATGGGCTTGTCATCACTGTGGGTCTGATGTTGGCTCCAACAGTCGTCTTATGTAAACAACATTTTACCTATCCATCAAAAGAAAACAATAATACTAACTACGTTGTAGGATTTTTGTGAAGACAATAATCGTAGATAAAATTTATTAAATACAGGTAATTCTAAATAATATCCAAGACCCTTTTACATTTTTAAAATTCATTTTCATAAGAACCACACAAGATTGGTACTATTATCCTTATTTTACAGTTGAGGAAATTAAGGTTCAAATGTTAAACAAAATAGCCATTTTAACATCTAGCAGAGTTTCTGGTATACTCCCTCAGGAGATGCTAGCTCCCTTTCCTGTCCCTCTCCTCTCAACTCCAGGACGTTGGGATGAGGTAATAGGGGAAAGAAGGAAGGCATAAACTATGTTGAGGCGACCATATAACATAGAAGCTGAATTTTGAAGTTTTCTTTCAGGGGAAGGCGTCTCCCAGACCAAAGAGGACTCACAACCATATGGTGCAGTGACTTCCCCTGGATCAGTACACCAGGGCTTGGACTAGAGGATTCACGTGCACTCCACTCCTCAGATAAGCCCTTAATCACAACCCCTCAGAAGAGGTTGGTCAGGTTCTGTTACATGACAGTGAAATTTTTTGTTTTTGAGGCCAATGTTGTTAGTTACATTGTAGTAATAGTAACAGTTACTGTAGCAATAGGATAGAAGCCATAGCAACAGTATAGGAAAAGGAGGAGGAGGAGAAGTGATATTAATTGAGTATGTACTAACTGCCAGGCCCTTTACATTAAGCACTTTACATTAAGCAACACATATTATCCCTGAGATAATATCCATGAGATAATTACTAACAGCAAGAGTAGCAGCAGTAGGAATAGCAGTAGTATTAGTACGATATCTAACACTAATTGAGTAGTTACTATCTGCCAGGCTCTAGACTAAGCCCTTTATAACTATTAGCACAATTTATCCCTTTGAAAGAACTACTATTACTGTCTATATATTGCAAGTTGACTTCCACTTCTGACAAACAGGGAGTAACAAGATCCTGATTTACCCTCTTGTCTGAACCAACAACAACAAAATGGATCAAAAAGATGAAACAAAGGTTTTCAAGGCACTGCAACAGGCAATGGAGGACAGTGATCCCTGAGAAGTAGGAAATAAATGAGGTAACCCCTATGATTGCCCCAGCTTACTGGTGGCCTCTTCAGCCAGGGGGCAGGGAGAGGGATGTCAGGAGAATCCAGGACTTCCTAAGTTGAGGAGACAAAGCTGAAGGTACCAAGGCAACTAGACTTGGCAAGGCAGAGTACCAGATAGGAAAGAGCTTCACAGAGAGAGAACTACAGACCCGCACAGGGTCTCCCTTGCATGTTCAGCACACACATGCGAGGAAACCAACCCAAGCCTGGAGAAAGGATCGGAGGAAATAGCACCTTGTGTTCACACAGTGCCAGGAGCAGTGCCTGTTCCCACCAGACAGGTTGGAGAACCTCACAACTCAAGAGCTATTGGGTAGAGTACTCAGAGGGCCTTGAGTTGGTAAGGGGGGATAATTTGTCTGAAATTAAACACTGTTCCAACCCTACCTAACAAATCTAAAAAGAAAGACCCAAATAGATTAGACTGCTTCCAAGTAGCTTAACTGCATCTCAGAACAAAGCTCAAGAATATTCATAGGAATATAAAAATATCTAGGACCTGGGGCCTGCCCAGTGGCATAGTGGTTAAGTTCGCATGCTCCACTCCAACGGCCTGGGGTTTGCTGGCTCAGATCCTGGGCAGACTTACACACCGCTCATCAAACAATGCTGTGGTGGCATTCCACATGGAAGAACTAGAAGGACTCACAACTATGATATACAACTATATACTGGGGCTTTGGGAAGAAAAAAAAAGAGGAAGATTGGCAACAGATGTTAGTTCAGGGCCAATCTTCCTCACCAAAATGCACAACTTAAAAAAAAAAAATCTAGCACCCAACAAATGACTGGCAATGACTGGCATCGAATCAAAAATTACCAACAGACAAAGAAGCAGAACCCATAATGAGAAAGAAAATGAACCAATTAACAGACTCAGAACTGACAAAATATTAGAATAAGCAAACAAGGACACTAAAATAGTTATAAATGCATTGTATCTTTTCAAAAATTAGTTATATGGGAGGCTGGCCCCATGGCCTAGTGGTTAAATCAGAGCACCCTGCTTTGGCAGCCCAGGTTCAGTTCCCGGGCATGGACCTACATGACTTGTTGATGGTCATGCTGTGGTGGCAACCCACATACAAAATAAAGGAAGATTGGCACAGATGTTAGCTCAGGGTGAATCTTCCTCAGCAAAAGTAAGAAAAGAAATTTGTTACATGGAAGATATAAAATAGAGGCAAATTGAACTTAGAGCAATGAAAACTACAATGTGTGACATAATAAAATGAAAAATATACCAGATGGGATTAACAGCATATTAGACACTGCAGATGAAAAGATTAGTGATCTTGAAGATATAGAATCTACCTAAAATAAAACAATGAAAAAAAGAAAAGAACACACAAAAAATGAAATGAGTAGAGAAAATGTATCTGAAGGAATAATGGTAAAAAAAAATCCAAATTTGATCAAAACTATAAACCCACAGATCCAAGAAGCTCAATAAACCTCAAGCTCAAGAAACATAAGGAAAACTATACCGAGGCTCATCATAATTAAATTTCTCACAATCAGTGATAAAAAGACAATCCTAAAAGCAACCAGAGTAAAAAGACATATTACAAAGATAAGGAATACAGCAGATTTCTTATCTGAGACAATGGAAGAAAAAAGACAATAAAGTAATATCTTTAAAGTTAAGTTTCTTTCTTGAAAGAAAAGACAGTGAGAAAAAGAGATTCACACTGAGTAGAACAGAAACCAAAAGAAGACTCAGCTAAGATAGGGTTCCATCAATTTCACAGAAGCTGGAGTTTTAATGCTAGGCTTATTGTTCAAAAAAATGGACTTTAATCACCCTCACACACAAATATAAATTCCGGTTGGATTAAAGCTATAAATAAACTAAAGTTCTATATCCAGCAAAAATATTTTTTCAAAAATATAGATTCTTTTTTTGAGAAACAAAAAGCTAAAAGACTTCATTACCAGCCCTGCACTACAAGAAATGTTAAGGGAAGTCCTTGAGGAAGAATGAAATTGACACCATAGGGAAATCTGGATCTACACAAAGAAATGAAGAGGGTCAGAAACTGTAACTACATGAGTAAGTATATACAGTTTTGTTCTTATTAACAAAAATAATAACAATGTATAGTGAGGTTTATAACATGTGTAGAACTAAAAGGTATGACACCAATAGCACTAAAGGCCAGAAGGGAGAGGATGGCAGTACACTATCATAAGATTTAAGACTGCATGTGAACTGTGTAAGTACACTTAAAGATAGTTAACGCTGTATACTGTAAACACTAAAGCAATCATCACATTAAATGTAAGCAGTCTAATTACCCCTATTAAAAGGCAAATATTATCAAATTGAATAAAAAAGCAAGACCCAACTATGTGCTGCCTACAAGAAACGCACTTCAAATACAAAGACACAAATAGATTAATAGGATAGAAAAATATATACCATGTTAACATTAATCAAAAGAAAGCTGGAGTGGTTATATTAATATCATACAAACTGGATTTCTACCTGTAGCAACTATATCCAGGTAGAAAATGTGGAGGATAAAGGTAGATAATTGAACACCCTCATTTGTCTGTACTCCTTCTTGAAATCTCTATGTAACACAGTAAAAGCTTGTTTTTTTTAATGTCATAAACCCATGAAGACAAAGATGATAGGAGAGATGATAGAAACAAGGATATTTTGGCAGCTGGAGGTGGATGCTAAGTAGTAACTAACTGACTAAACCTGAGGAAATGGACTTT